GTTCATCGAACAGTCTAACCCCAACACATGCAACAGAAATGACTCAACGCAAATATCAGAGATGTGTATGGAAGAAGTCAGTCAAATCAGAGGAGGATAATAAATAATCTCAAAATTCTATTTCATTTCAGTCACATACATCATAACATTATAAAAAGTAACTTAATTTGACTATAAAGACACTCGTCTTATTTCCCATCTGACTGTAATTGATCAATAACACTCATTATATTATTTCTGAATGTAAATTTTCCTATATTGATATCTATTCAAATATCTAGTCAATTCCACACAGGTATTTGAATGTGATATGTATCCACATGATGTGTGTTTTGTTTTTGACAGTCTGTTACATTTTGCTATGTGTATATGGATCAATATTCCATTATAACTGACATCGTGCTTTTGTCTGTACACTAACTAAATAAACGATGTATGACCCTGTTATCACATGACATTACAACCAATCACGGTAAGACGTTGTCTTATTGGTTCATGTGTATTAGCCATTTTCATATATACTTTTCCATTAGACACTTGTTCATACTTGTTCGTACATTTCGTACCATCTCACTCACACATTTGTGTGACATTTATTTTCCTTGTCTGGAAAATACAAGTATCATTGTAAACCTGGTGGTCTTCTAATTTCCCTCTTTCCGCGTCAGGACTATTAAGTACTCGACAAGTACATAACAGAATGAAGCAAGACAGTTGTGTGAGTGGTGCCTTGATATGACTATGAGCAATAGTTTGTGCTCGAAACGTGGTCATCAGTTAAAATTACTGTGTAACACTTTGTGACCTATCAAAATAGTATCTTATCTATAAATTGGACTCCTAAGCCCCACCTAGTCGGTTGTTAACCCTAAAAAGAAAGATGGGATGTTAGAAGTACAGCTAGCAATCCTACTTAGTGAGAAAACAGAAAGTCTAAAACTTGATCACTACTGTGGTGGTAGGGTATAACTCTATTATGGATAAGATTTTATTTTGATAAAATCACACAACATTTATATGGTAGGGCGAAAGAGTTATGGAACACTCTCCAGCTTAGTTAGCGAGAGGAAAAAAGAAGAATAGTAACAGCTCCATTCTCGAACACGTTGTCATCTCAAGACATGGAGCACCCTCACATGAATGCTTCACAGTGATACACAGAGTCCCTCCATATCGTACAAAGGGACTTCGGATATGCCATCTGTACATAGATGAAGCATTAGCTATTCGAGATCTGAAACCGGACCTCTGCATTCAAAAGTGATACATATATTCTCTCTCTCCCTACCATGGCCAGAGTAAAGCTCTGCCACAATTTTGCTTCTTTCCTCCGTTATGTAAGTTCACTATTATTATTGTTGTTATTAATACTTTTATTATCATTATTATTCCCATCATCCACATTTTATTACCACTCTATTACTGTTTATTAATAACATTGCTTTTTCATACAGATTTTATACAAAAACACTTTATAGCCTTTCCACTAGTTCCTGTCCACTCTACACTAGCTTATTGATTAGTCATTATCTCACACTTATTACGTCATGCCAACTTCTGTCTCTTTTCTAACTTACAATTAGTCATCCCTTCTTACACTTTACATTATGTAATACAATTTTTCAAGGAAGAAGTTCACCACCATCTGATTGGTTTAAATATTTATTTGTTAAATATGATTACGACTGTACAGCAGCTCATGAAAATGAATCATCGAAAAGGGGGAATTTTCTTCGCTGTTTGTGTCTTTTTCTTATGCTTAAGCTTTTCTCTTAGCCAGTCTTATTACTGATTTAACGAGGTAAAGGACTGAGTTAGTCGGCGATTGAACCCCAGACCACATGCGTGGTTTTCGAGCATTCTATCTCTACGCCACCGACGTACATTTGAAGCGCATAACAAACAGTATTTCATTTCTTTCGTTGCTGACATTAAAGTGAGCTTTTATGTTTCCTGAAAAGGTTACGTAGTGAAAGGCATACTGATATAGAAACAACGGTGTGCATAGCTGCTGAACTGAGGACGTTGCCGTCAGAATCTCTCCTTCAGCTTATGCTTTTTGTGTTTGTCTTCCGTTGAAAGCTGGATTCTCTGTTTCAGAAGTGTTTGTGAGGTTATGCTTAAAATGGCTTTTTTCAAGTAGTCTGTTAACCTGTCTAAGACACAATGAATACTCTTTTGGGAATAATATTTTATCAAAATTCCATTTATTCAGAATCACTGAAAGATACGCTATTTAACAGGATATTTACAGCTCTCGCGTTTACTATTTTTGAAGAAGATTCGATTTCTGGAAATTACAGGTTCTTATGTGACATTGCTAAATACAATGACTGGGATAACTTGAGCTGAAATAAAATTATTTTCATGTGCTGTTTTGTAGAGAGGCGATTGGTCTTGAGATCTGATTACAGATTGAGATCAACTGGAGGACCACCATCGATCGGCCTCACTAATCAAACTTAGAAATCATTTAACCTCTACAAACTAATACCTGAAAGTTACCTGTAAATCTAGTGAGAAGCCAGAATCAGAGGTTCCCACCGGATCTGACAACTAAATATATTGCGAATTGACTGCAGTTGGAATTCATGGTATGGACACTGGATCGGTTTCCAGTATCTGAATAGTCTACTTGTTGACCTTGTAACTGAAAGGTGGTGAGTTCGGACCCCTGTAGGTGTGTACTTATGAAGGATGCTAAACTAAGATGGAACAGCTGTATTTCTGATTTTCCAGTAGTTGTTACCTCGTGATTAAACCTGTAGCCAGTCGACTCCCTGTTGACCCAAACTTCATTAGACAGTGGTTGTAATAAGACTCGAACCCAGAACCAATAGTTCAAAATATGGCGAAATGCGCATTCCAGATTTTACGTCTAGTTACCATCAGTTAAACAACATCCTGTCGACACTCAGACATCAATGAAGCGTCCGTACGAGGAGACAAGTTGATAATGTTTTGGCATTTGAAATATTGAGTTCTGAGTTTGAATCACAGAAGAAATGCCGTCAGTTAATAAGGACACATGTACATTCAGCAGAGGAATCTCAAAGAGGTTTTGGGAATGCACATCAAGAATTCCCCTGCTAGCTACCACTGAACAAATCACATTATTAAAATCGGAGAAGTAGTCTAGGAAGGATAGTGAGAGTTTTATCATTATTATTCTTGTTCCCTAGGGCTCCTAGTGGAACATAGGGCTTCAACTCCACGTCTCCACTTGCTTCTGTCTTGCTTCTGCTGTACTTTTCACCTGCATCTATGTTAGTCCACACTGTTTCAACTCCTCTTCACAGAAACCCCCCCAATGTCACCCTCGCACTGACGTCCTACTCGCCGCTTCCCTTTCGGGTTCCACTGGAGCGATGGCCTGACGCGCGCGCGATGTCACCCAGCAGCGGCCTCCTCCTCAGCAAGTGAGTGTCCAATCCATCTCAATCCTCTTTCTCCAGCATATTTGTTGGTTGACGATTGGTTCTTGTTTTGTTTGTCCCTTCCCATAGTTTCTTGTTGCTGGTGATTCTTTCCGGCCCGGCCATCTCATCTTCAGTATAGATTCAGCGAAGACAGTTGTTGAATGATAAATGTCTACAACCTTTTGAAAATATTCTTTGTGACACGCCCGCCAAGTTTCTGATCCGTATAGAAGAACTGACTGACTTGACGTTTGTATTGAATATCCGACCGAATTTTGTTGTTGATGCTGAGTGATGAAGATTTCCAAATTGGTTTCACATTGATGAATGTGCTTCTCGCCTTCCCGATTCTAGCTCGATTTGACATCCCATCCATTCCGACTTCCTGTAGTTGAGAAAATGCTCCCTAGATAAGTCAATGAAGTAACCTCTTTTAAATCCCGCCCTTTGATGGCGATTGTCGCTGGATGTTGCTGTCGTTGTTGGTTGGTTGGTTATTTTCATTACCTCCGTTTTGTCTATGTTCACGTGGAGTCCGTCTTCACCGGCTGCTTCTTCGACCAGTAGTTTGTCGGTTTTTCGTTTGTAAGTCTTCGATTTTGTGACAGTGACATCAAACATAAATCACCCACACGCGAAATCCAGGTCTTCTAGGTTCTTCACGTCGGTCGGTCCAGGATATCCCTGTATTCTCGTTTCCCACTCACTGTCTGACGCATAATCCAGTCCACCACAATTAGGAATATCATTGGTGGTAATAAGCACCTTGTCTGATTCCTTCCTGTGTTTACTCCAAACGCCTCGCTGAGTTTTCCGTTGTGTATCACTTGACATGTTCCGTTGTGGTACAGCTGTTGAATACAGAGTTGATGAATATTTGGGGTATGCCGTAGTACTCGAGTAGTTTCCAAATGACATCACTGTGAACGCTGTCGAAGACCATCTAAAAGTCTATAAAGTAATAACAGCTTTTTTACTCAGGAATTATTTAGCTCAGAAACACTACAAAACAATAAAAAAAAGTGGCATAAAACCATCTACCACCTGAGTCATACAATTTCTCTATTTTCCACCTCATGAAATAAACTCTCAAAGACAACACATGAAAACATTTTTTATTTTTCCTCCAAACTGTTATAAGTAGTATAATTTTGTATACAGAAAAAACTCAATTTATATGAAATTCAATTTCGAAATAATTTCTGATAACTCTCAGAAATTGTGTTTCTGAGACACGTAGAAAAAATGAGGAAAGAAAATTGGTCTCCGGGAGAAAAAAATACCCATCAAGAGAAGAAGGCGGAGAAATGAAATTCGAAATGAGCAAAGATAATAGAATTGTTTCGTCTGTGTTTGCCTCATCAGAAGTTAGTAATAATGATGATAATAATAACCTGAAGCCATTAAAGTCTTCAAACACTCAAAAAATTTAGGGGGGGGAAGTATAGTTTTGAAATGAAGTCCCTCCTTGACACCACTCCAAAAAAATGATAGGCGCAACAAAATCCAAACTCAGGGTACATAAAATTATGAATAGAAAAAACAAGTTGACAGAATCGACACGGTCAAGTGTCTACAGTTCTCCTCTTTCAAGTGGTTGTTCATCCTTCGGACAGAAAAGAGAGTAAATTTTTAGTCGACAAAATTTATGTATTGAGTATTTTCTTAACCAACTGCCTAATTGTATCCTTACGTTTCATCGCCCTACGTAATTCATGATATAAGCATATGATAGATATCTCTTTCAAGCTGTTTGATAATTCCAATAATTTTATTGCTTTTCTATGTTTTAATCGATGATCATTTGTTAAAATAGGTAGTAGTAAGAGGCTATCTTTGTCTAAAATATGACTATTTGCACTGCGACAACGTGATGTTGTCAACTTGTCACGTGATGAGTCCAATTCTTGTCTAATTTTATGCAGTGATGGGTGATGCTTGTGTTCATCGCAGAGATACTGACTAATTGATGACGTTGTGGGACTAGTTTCATGACTGCTTGTAGTACTACTACCACCACTACCGCCGGTATCATGACTACTCGTCCGACTGCTATGAATCCGTCTTGACATGAATAACTCATCGTGTTTTAATGTTTTCTCCAGTAATCTATTCAACGTTAGCAAACTCATTTCATCACTTGAAGAATCACTGAATTCGGCGGAAACCTCTTCATCACACTTCATTGAGGTGTCGTCAGGTAGTAGTAGTAGTAGTGAAGTTTTTTCGTCATCATCTATTCTCTGCTTTCTGTTCTTGCATAAACATTCACCTTTTGAATTACTATCCCCTTGAATAGTTGGATTGCTTTCACTTGATGATATCTGAGAGATGCGTGTTTGTGTGTATACTGGACTTACCACTTGACTATCTGTTGTCTGTAGATCCGCATAGCGTTCAATTATAGATTTGATCTTCTCGCTTAAATCAGCCACTGGGGTGTTCATCACTGCTTCGCATAATTCTGCTTCATATTCTTTACGACGTGTTTGTAAACTGTCAGCTTTAGTAATTCGATGCGATTTTGTACGAAGTAGTGGCACTGGTCTATTCCTCTGACTTTTCTCTTGAATATCACGTGGTTTGGGAGTTTTCTTTAGGCATGATAAAGTTTCAGCATTTTTCAATGTTGACTTCAGTTTAGACGTAACATTCAACAATTTCAATTCATTTGACTTCCTGGTAGATTTTCCTGTCAACAGACTGAATGGACTGGTGGTTGGAAGAATTTTCACCTCTCCTTCACTCAAACTTGTAGAATCTTTCTGACTAGTTTCATCTTGAGAATCTCTAAGTGATAGTATACTTTCTTCATACGGAGAAGCATAAGCGTACATATCATCTTTGACTCCCTGTGATATCTGAATCCCATGAGCATCAGGTGAAAGGGTGGACACTTCTTGATGAAATTCAAGTTGTGGCGCATTACTTGCCACTCGTTTTGTTTGTGGTCTATCCTTGAGTTTTTTGTCAAAGCATATTCTCGTCTCATTAATGGGTCTAGCTTGATGTATAATGGGTTCCGACCGGATAATCATTCTTAAATCACGTATACAATGCAGCCCCAACAGTCGTCTGTGAGTTAATTCCTCGTGTAAATGATAGCTAGGATTGAGTTGTCGATAGGATTTTTGTGCACGATACAACTGGTAACTCTGAAGTTTATCAATGTCATAATTGCATAATCCATAGGATTTCAGTTGTACACGTTCGCTAGTCATGTACAATAGACGATTACCCCTCATCGTATTAGTACGTTTAATCCGTTTTCTACGAGTTTTAATATCACGATAGTAGAGTTTTGATTGGTTATCAAAATGTGGTGGTACAAAGTGTAGTTGAGTTTTATGCGATTGTAAATTCATGGCTTTCACTTTATCCACCTCTGTTTCTAGTTGATTAATAATTAAGGGTTCATTTAACTTTGACACCTCAGTCACACCATCTTCTTCCGCCAATAATCCCTCCATCTGATGTGGTGTATACGATTCTGGCCTGCTGAATTCAAGTATATCCTGACCTATACACATCACTGAGTCTTTTGAAGCAATTTTACAAATTTCTATTCTTGGTGACATTTTCATGCCTGTGTCATCATCTTTTGAAGATTGACTCAATGTTTTATCCTCGAAGGATTGGGGTACGCTACTTTCTTGCAGTGTTAAGGGAAAATTTAGTATATAACTTTGAAATTTCTCATAGAGATCTGGCGTCTTCATATTGTCTTGTCTAAGAGTGACAAGCAAATTCATTGTGTTCTCCGTGTCACTTTCTGGTAAATATAAATTTGTATTTAACTTTAAATTATTTGCGGCTAGTTTACCCAAAGTGGTTTGTGTCTTCTCAGTTGGAATTGTGTCGTTTTCACGCCCATTGACTCGAAGGAACTGCTTTTGGCTTCTTCTACTCGCATCATCATTCATAGATGAATGGCTTATAAGTGATACACTATAGCTTCCTTCATTTCTATGCTGAATATTTTTATTCATGTCTACAATTCTTGGAGGATGACTCACTTCTTTGTCTTGCTCTTCTTCTTCTTCGGGTTCCAGCTGTCCTTTGGAAGTTACAACAAGCTTCGCTGTGTTATCAGTATTATCCTTGTTCCTAATTTCATAGGGTACCTGTAATTTTCTAGCTAGATCACCGGTAACTGAGTAGTCAGAAGGTAATAATATTTTATCATTCTGTTGACTACGACGACTTGGATGCTGTCCATCTGCGCCAACCTCTTTCGATGAAATAGCTTCAACAGACGTAGGTATTATTAAGGTTCTTGATGATGAAATATCTTGACTTGTTGGCCTGTCTAGTTGCTTTGTATCGATTCTACTTGCATAAATATCTTCACTAGGGCTTAAATGTTTCTCGCCTAAACATTCAATGTCTAACCGCATAGTCAAATCCTCTTCTTTTGTCATGATTACACTTTCTGTTTCGTGTAAATGAAGGTTAGTCATTGAATGTCTACCACTGATAACTTTCTCCATTAAATCTTTTGGTGATTTAAATTCACTATGCTTCCAGATTGTTTGTTGTTTTTCAGGTGGCTTGGAAATACTTACATGAACAGGTGATAGACTTGTATGAGAAGTATGTCGTAAATATGGAAAGCCTTGAAGCACTTTTTTAAATGACTGTTGGGATAACCATTTCCTTGAGTTAGTCGGTTGACGATTCTCTGATGAAGGGAAATTATCAGCATCTAACGTATCATTTTGATTGATTTTTTGGGGATCAAAACTCATTGGTGTTGTCTTCTCTGATGGTTGACAGAACAACGGTAGTTTTGGATAGATATGTTTGCATAATTTTCGACAGGGTGAAGTATGTGTGCCTTCTTGCGTATCTGGCATACGTTCAGTGGGTTCAGGAGTACCTTCTATACGAGGATTATGGTAATGATGACGTAAACGGTAAAGTGGAGGAAAATTTCGAAAAAATGCTTTTCTCGGCTTCTCGTCTGATGTTTCATTAGAGAAATTGAATGCATAACACAACTGGTACGTTTCATTAGTATGCCTTGATGAATTGCCAGTATACACATCACATGACGGACATTTTATTCGAGACAGTTTATTCTGAGTGGAATTAAGAGATTGCCTCTCTTGCAGACGACGTGTATGACCGTTGCCTAACTGACTACCTAATCCAATATGATCATTTCGCTTAACTTCAATATTATTATTCTTTGGTACCCACCTGGTAGAGTAATCACTTGATAAACTTGATTGAGACAGAAGACAATTGTCTGTTAAATAATTCACTGTAGTTCCACTGCTTGAATCAGGCATGGGCAATCTGTCTGACTTGCATAGACGACAAATATTCCCTTGTGTAGGATATTCATAGGTTTCATCAGCTGAACTTTCATATTCTTCTTCAATAAATTTTACTAGCATTGACTCCATATCATCGGTGTTTTCTTGTTCATCAGCACAGCCATCTTTTTTAGGCTTAGAATTAGATGTTTGGTATTTAGAAGTCGATTTATGCACATTAAAGGGTAATAATGGAGTCGAGGAAGGCTTCAATGATTCTCCTATCCGACTAACTGGAGTAATTATTGTTTTAGGCATTTTTGATGTATAGGTTAGCGAATTTGTTGTTTTCATCCTAGAAGAGGCTAACTGACAGGTGTACGGAGATGTACGGATGTGCTCACTTCGGCTGACAGATTTTTGTCGAGGTGGATTTATACGATGTTTGACAATAATTTGACTACCGCCTTTCCCATAGCCTAGTGATTGACATTTCTTTCTTATCGGATTCTCATCGCCAATATACTGTCTACTGATTAAGGGAATATTCTCTGTAGGGTGAAGATTTGTCGTTATAATACGATGCTTTCTTGTTATTCTCTTTCTACTGCAACTACTATAACTCTTTCTTTGTCTAATAGTTTTTTTCCCGCTGGTACTACAGACCGATGAAACACGTGGTAGAATTTCAGCTTTTCGATGATATTTTGCTATATTATTCTTCAACATTTCACTTGTAACCGATATCTTCCGAGATGGATTTATGCTGGGTAAATATCAGACAGGAAAGCATTCGTTAGTCATGACCACTGATGCCTGCCTGATATTTGTACAAATTATAATTACTGATATACATATATGCATATATACGTAGTGTATATATGTATTTGTGAAAATCGATAAGACAGGATATTTTAAAAACAGGATGTCTAAATAACGCCTAACTATTTACTAAAACATAACGTGACCTGAATATACACAGGGATTGCTTTTTTTATAGACGATAAGAATCTGCTTTTGTGTGAATACAGCTAGCTAGTTGGTTAGCCAGTTAGCTATACACATTACCGACCAAAGTGAATAAAAGTGCTTGATTAATGCACACCTCATCATCACTCGATCCTGAAAATGAGATGGCTGGCTAGCTGGCCAACCGGAAAATATAAGCAAGGGGGAAATATGGCAGGCAGTTGATAAATCTAGGAACTATCGCCTGGCAAATATGCAAAAGAAAAACCAGATGGATGCACCGATATATGACAGGCCAGAACATCAAGTTGAATCGGAGTGGTAAATGTCGAATTGGGCGTCCAAGGACGTTAAGGACGAGTTCTTATGGTGGGGACAGGGAAGTGAAAGCTGACTAACAATCGTGGAGCAAGGTTAAAGGAGAACAACTGTGAAGAACAGAGTGAATTAAAGAGATGTTGTTGGTGAAACTCTACATTTCACACTATATACAAGGGAATAACTTGAATCGCTCATTTCTGGAAAGGATGCATATAACAGTTGGGAAAAATAAGTGAAAATATCAGTGGATATGAAAAAAAGATGTATTCTCCTCTCTTTATTTTCAAAAAAATGTCCAAGGCAATGTGATCCAAAGATCAACATGAGACAAAAATCCAATATAGATTGCACAATTTATTGACTTCCAAAGTTTTGTCTCATCAGGCAGAAAGCAAAATCGATCATCTTCTTTATGTTCAAGAGATTGCAGAAATGTATGTTAGAAGACACAATGAAGAGTGACTTAAAATCTCTTCTAGATACCCGGCAACAGAAAACCGATATCCAAACACACTTATTGCCATAAGGATGAAACAAAAACCTCCATCACTGAAAGGTGAAGCAATTCTTAAGAAAATTACCTTTGTGAAGTTAGAGTTCGATAGTGACAACGAAGAAGAAAGTCTAATAAACCGTCTCTTTATTTGTAAGGGTCTGAAGAAGACTTAATATCAGTAAAAAGGCTGCACATAGTAGAATAGATCACATAAGAAATTATAATTCTATTTTCGAGGGGTTTACACACAATGATAAGTTGTTTTTTTTGTTTGTTTCTTTTTCGTAATATTTCGAGCAAAATTACTGCCCCCATGGGATCACACCACCACCAACTGTTGGAACTGTTGATATAAGTATAAAACTTGGCCACTGTACTGGTAGAGCATAACTCCATTATGGATAAGATTTTATTTTGATAAACTATCACACAGAGTGCGTCGGTGGTGAAGCGGTTAGCACGCTCGCCGACCATGCATATGGTCCGGGGTTCGATCCCCGGCCGGCGCACTCCTTTATCCCACTGAGCCAGAAATAATTCTGGTAAGGAGGAAAGGTTGGGCATGAGGATAGCAACCCCACCCTGTAAAATAAACACTTCTGCAGAAACTTCAAGCCACTAGCTTGGAGCCCTATGTTCCACTGGGAACGTGAAGGAAAAATTATTATTATTATTATCACACAGAGTGATGTTATACAGTAATATTAGTCATGTTGGAATTGTTCTGTATTTATTTCACACAATTTATGATTTGTACTCATATTTATATGTATATAGTTCATTTTTCGTCCATTCATTTTCGTGTATTCAGATTTGTACATGTATCCGGTGTGACCGTAATGAATATAGATTCTGTTATAAGTTCATCCTTCTATTTCATTCTATTAGATGACCTTTATTCTACATTCACTCTCATTTTCAGTGATCTGAACTTTCGACCCATATATTTAGTCGGACATTCACCACAAGATATCATTTTGCAAATCACATTGTTTTTATCCATCATTTTTATGGGATCTTTCAGTTGATTTATTTCATTTTTAACTAGATTTGTTTTTTTAAACGTTGTGCGAATCCCACTGTTTTTGAGGTTTCTTCAAATTGCCTCTGATGTGACATTTTTGTATGTTATTGTGCTTGTTTATTTTGCCTTCCCCCTTCTTGTTACCGTCTGGTCTTACCGGCCTTTTTTTTAAAATTTTTTCTATTATCTCTGATAATTTTTTTTTTGGTATTTGTTGTCAAGTAACATTTTGAATAGGACGTTTATTTCTTCTCTCTGGTTATCTGAAGAAGACATCTAGAACAGTCACTTCGCTAATCATATGATCTAACAGTCAACAGTTAGTCTGTTATTCCACTATGGATAACAGCGCTTTTATCCATCTCAATGTATACTTATCAATTTACTTGTTACTTTTAAATAAACAAGTGAAGGTCGGACAGGATGTGCGTCGAACGACCGATGTACCTGGCTCCACAGCAGCAGGTGAACTGGTATATGCACATAGAAGTGGCCAGATGCGGGATCTTGTCCTTGAGGCTTCTGCAGATCAGTGGGCGACTGGAGAACACTATTCTTAGCGTTGCTGCAAAGAATGTTCTTCTCAGAGATGATGTGATCCTTCTCTTGAGAATATCGCTTGCTAAATCTCCCTTGAAATCCAAGTTCATGTAGATTTTATTTATAGGCGCAGTTAAAGTTTCGTTTTTCCGAATTACTGGTTTCATATTTTTGTCGATAAATCTTATTGGGTATCCATTTTGGATGAATATTTCTCTCAGAATATCTAATTCTGTTTCCAGAACGTCAGGACTACAGATGCGTTCCACTTATTGATTCCTAATAAAGGTTGCCTACATTGTTAACTGATTGGAGAAAGTCTTCTAGACAATGGTTTGTTTTCGGGTCCCACCCTCCCCCATAAATGACACCTTGTATGGCCCCAAGAGTACGTGAATTGTCTTCTTCTTCTTGAAGTTCTCCCTCATCATGTGACATCGGCGTCGGGGGGAGGAGTGTTCCTCATAAACGTTTAAGAGTAAATGCTAAGTTTATGATCTGTGTCGTCAATACGTTATTCTACCTTTGATTGGACACTAGTAACTAGTTTGACGTGTCTAGTCCTTTTTTTTGGTGCAGACTGAATTCTATCAGTCAGCCTCCAACTACCGAATATTATCAAATCAATGTGCACCGTGATGGCGAGCTACCTAGGCGGCATGGTGGCCACATTGCAAACCTGACTGACTGATAGAATTCAGTCTGTACCAAAGAAAGGACTAGCCGGACACATCACACTTGTTACTGACTAGTGTCCAATCAAACTACCCACTACAGTCCTACAGGAGGTCAAACGCTAGCCCGAATAGCTAGCTCAGTGGTAACGTCTCTGACTGCAGACGGCACTGGGTCACGCGGGTTTGAACCCCAGAAGGGAAATCTTGAGTTCTTTCAAGGCTGCAGATAAGCCTTGCTGACTGTCGAGTTTCAACTAGTACGAAACCTAGGTCAAGCAAGGCTTCCTGTGGCCGATTGCCTCCAACTATCTAATATCGCGTCATGTACCTGTTGCTAATGGATATGTTCTCGTTGACAGCTGATATAATTGAGTGGACTTGTGTGTATGCGTGTGTGGGTGGGTGCAATAATGCTGATGCAATGAACAACTCAACTGTCATGCTAAATATGCCTATCCGTCCGTGGTACCTGCTGTTTCACTGAGCCACGTATATATCAATACACAAAGGCTGGCCGTCTATGAATGTTAAGAGATCATTTTTTATTAGGAGAAAGCACGTTATATTTATAGTTATGTACTTCTAACCACGCTAAAAATCTGTCTAGGGCAGTAAGACAGATCCTTCTGATTGGTTATTGGTTCGGCTAGGTTGGCCGAGAAATAAGCCTTCTGATTGGTTAGCGATTTGACCAAGACCAAGATGATGAAATTTTATAGTCATCCGATCACACGAGGAATCATCAAAAGAGGATTACTACTTTTAAGCTGATTCCTATCTAACTGGTGAAGGAGATGTGGGTTAATAATCAATAAAAAGTTTGAGCATTGTGGGAACTAGATCAAATAAAGTAATAATTATATTTCAATAGTTTACACACAATGATAGCTGTTTTGTTATTGGTAATTAAACAAAACAATTCCAACAGTTGGTGGTGTGAACACGGGCAGTAGTAATTTTGCTCGAAATAACAAAACAGTTATCATTGTGTGTAAACGTCCTCCGTCCTCCTTTATGGTTGTGAGACCTGGCCACTGAGAGTGGAAGACATGAAAAGACTAGCTGTCTTTGATCATAGGTGCCTGCGCTCTATTTCCCGTGTAAAGTGGCATAATAAGGTGAGCAACATTGAGGTTAGGCGTCGAGTTCTAGGTAAACAGGGGAAATCAATCGACGAAGTCGTGAAGTTACAAAGACTGAGATGGTTAGGACATGTGTTACGTATGCCAAGTCATCGCCTCCCTCGACGAGCAATGTTAGCGGATATAGGGTCAGGCTGGAAAAGAGCTAGCGGCGGTCAAACAAAAACTTGGCACCAGTCAATGAAATCCACAACAGTTGGTCTAAGCCACGTAGGAAGGTGTAGACTTCCAGGCTGGGGTCCTCGGGACGGTAAAAATCTATGGTTGGAAACAATTGGTGACATGGCTCAAATTGATCGTTCTCAGTGGCGCAGATGCATCCACTCCTTGTGACTTATGATCTCCAATGAAACTGTTTTGTTCTTCGTTATTACTCCTCCTTTGTCTCACACCTCTGTTTACTGTCTGTATTATGGAATTCTTCTACTTTCTTCTCTTGCTTCGCGTGCTACACGGAGTGTGGCGACTTGAACTTCCACACATTCGTTCAAAGTCCAATGTCGAAAACAGACAGACATTGTGTGTAAACTATTGAAATATAATTATTACTTTATTTGAAATGTGGGTTTTCCCTACCCAATAGAAGAGCGCTATAGAAAACTCTAATTCCGAACTCCCAAAGTCTTAACAAATCGAAT